ACTGGATCAGCAATTATGAAGTACGTCGGATGGTATTCGGGAGGAATAACTCATCCTCGATAGACGAACTGATCACATTGCATATGTTGCGCTGGCTTGGCAAAGTGTTGCGTATGCCAGTCGACCGACTTCCTCGAAGGGCTCTTTTCGTACAACCACGTGAAGGGTGGAAGAGAGCCAGAGGCGGTCAATGACTTGGCAGCGAAGTATGAAAGCCATTACCAACGAACTCAGCTGCGCTGGTCACTGCCCTCTTCCTGTATGGGGACCCCGAGACGAGTACGCGGTTATTAAAGCTGACAATTATGATTATGATGATCGTGCAGTGTATAGCTGATAAACTGAATTGAGTTGATCCAAAGAAACCCATGTGCTGTGTTCACGGAAAGAATTATAATGGATTGCGGACACAGAACACTTGAGCCGAGCTTCGTGTCCTGTCTAATATACCACTGCCCCAGAGAAAGTTAGTGCAAACCTTTAGTGGTTGAACGTTGCGTGCTATCAGTGTGAAGTGTCGTGGAGGGTACGATACCGTGTTTTACTCGGGATTGGTTCAGTTAAATCCTTTGGTCTCTGAGTCTGTCGTGACTCTGTATGGTCTCCGTCTCTGCGATGTGCTAGACTCTATAGTACTGTGGTAGCTGCTTTGGTGTGTCAGAGAGTCTGCGCGTATGCGTATCGGTTCGTCGTTCCACCATCAATCTGGCGTGTGACTTGAGTGGCTGATTTGGTGCGTGTCCGATTGATTTGCTCGCGTGAGCGTTGTGGGTTGACTGGATATGTACTCAGTTGTTTGCCGACCCGCCGCGAAAGCGCACCAAGTTGACCGCGTGCACGCGATACACCCGTCATTACTTACGTGTTTTTCCGACTTACTGTGAATTACAATAAGTACAAATTGTATTGAAGCATAAGGAAACTTATAACACCTTTCTGGGTCGTAGCTGCCATGACACCCGGAGGAGGCACTGGGTTGCCCGAGCCTAGACAGGAGCAGTGCAGATTTGAAGGTTGGGTTCAAACTATGGACCTTCCTATCACGCCTTAAACCACTGTACACCTCGAGCTGATTATCAGACAGAAATGTGTTCTCTCGTCCTTCGTAAGCGCTGTGCGTCTCAAGTCTTATTTACTTACTTCTAATGCCTCGGGGTGGAAGTACTAGCCAGTACGGATACTGAGTACGCCAAAGATATGGCTGCGTCTGGCCGTCAAGATGAGACTGGGCTGCTCTAACAGTCATACGCCAACCACCGCTGGGTTTTGGTTAGGTTTTTGTGTCCAACTCTTTGGCCGAGGGCGCAAATCTTCCCCCTATCTAAGCCTGGGAGACTAGGCGGTATCTTAGCTCAAGTAAAACCATGAGTCTCACACATAAAAATAGTTTAATGTCAATTCGGTCATCGGTGGCATCCGCCGGACCACCTCACTTGCTGCATACAGTAAGGCGAGTAAGGGAAAAACTTCGTTTCCACCGGTGGAGTTGTTTATTAGAAAACACCAACCAAATAGTCAGACTACTGGACCGGAAAGTCGGACTCTCATATGCATCCAGTTTTTAAAAAATGAATACCCGTCTATTTCTTGAACTTTCCAGGATATTCATTGGCCATTACGCAATTGTAAAAGAATGCTGCAAAGCAGTTCCACAATTTCTGTAACAAATCCAACCTTCCATTAGATCAATGCGGAGTTACAGAAAAACCACACACTACTGGCATTCCTCATCAATAGTATCCACCGTTAAATCGGTACCTCCTTGGGTCCATTTGTGAGGATTGGCAGATCCCTTATCCATCCATTACCGCATCGGTGGTCAGAAACCTGAAGATGCCTCACATCATCTGTCCACAGCTGCCATGTCCCGCAGCCGTACAACGCCCTTACTGTAGCCTGGTACATGAGACCCTTAAGACCCAGTGACATGACTTTTTGGCGCCACACGTAACGCAAATTAGCAAACGTGACCCAACTTCATGGATAAATACAGTTTTGTCAACCAGTTTATTTCAACAAGTTTGCAGAAAAGGATATGCAATGAAAGGTTGTGAATATCGTACGCAGTTAATATCCAATATTTTAGGCATGTGAGTTAACGGGGAGCTCTCCAAAAGCTTTCCCACGAGCAGTATTATCGGGCGAGGACGTCCAACTGCTTCAAATTTGTTTAATTTCGTGACCAATGAGATAATGAGACGAACACTTAGAAGAAGGCTTAATTTCGGCGTTCATATCCTTTCGAGTGTGAACCTGGTCGCCCTGAATGTGCAGACGACATTGCTGTCACTTTTGGAAAAGAGAATAAAATGCACAGCCTTTGAACAAGCCCCTAAGAATTCAGAGTGACATCGGGAGTTGTGGAACACCATATCTGTCTAGGAAGTCGCACTGTCTCTAATGGTAGTATAACAGACGAAGTGAACGCGTGAATACCGAGTGGCAGACCTATGTTTGCTGATTCACGCCACTTGTGGCTCCAAATAGGTATCCCAATAGATCTGAGGGTACATGTATCAGACTACAACACGAGCTGTATTGTTGTACGGCTGCTATACCTGACTACTTCGGGCGGAGGATCTGAGACATCTTTAGATTTCTGACCAGTGATTCCTCAAAGTATGGTTGGGATCCGCGCGAACCAGCAAATTCACAATAAGATCACAAGACAGGATTGTGATGGGGCACTACAAGCCCAGTTGTTTGGGCCGTCTCTTACGCATGAGTGACAAATTGCCGAGATGAGCACTGTTTTCCGTGCCTAGTTCGGTGGCCGAAACCTAGAAGTTGACGAAATTTGACATGGCAGAAGGGAACGAAGACTGTAATTAGAAGCTTGGGCGCTGTTGGATCTGTGTGCCTTCTAGGATGGGGTCCACGTTGCATTCCCTGTACTTAGCTGGAAACACTGAACGAGATGTGGCGGCTAACCGATGTCAGTGGGGACGGGGCAGCCTTTTCCAACCTTCAACAGTTGTGCCGCAGATGTGTCATCAGTTTAACTGTCAACGATAGAATATACAATTCCACGGTCTGTCCTGCTATAGGGCCGAAACGTCGCCGCTGTAAAAAGGATCTTCGAGAACTGTCCGTGTATAACCATCAGTGTCTAAGATGTACTGCACCGGTCTGGTGGGAACAGTGGATCAGTAATGTTGAAGTACAGTCTCCCTCGAAAGACCTGTTGGTCATATTGCACAGTTACACTGGTTACTCTATGTACTTCGTGCGCCAGAGGACAGTTTGCCTCGTATGAATCTCTTCGCCCAGCCTGAAGGAGAAGATCAAGTCGAGGTCAGTCCAGGTATTGGCAACGAAGCATGATCCTCACTAGTCGACTCACTTGAGTTGGCAACTACCGTTTTTCCGGATGGGGACCGCAGGACAATACAAACTAATGGTTGTGTCAGGTAGCCATTGGCGCTCTTGCATAAATCCTCTATCTATCACCTTTACTGCGTAGCTCTCACCTTGCCCTCTTCGGCGAGCAGGTGCATTTGTGTTCTGTGCACGAATTAGGCTATCGCCTTCAACACGTGGCCCTCATTCCCTCATTTTCCTTACCCTCGGTGAAGGAAACTGCGACGGCTAAAACCGATGCACATCAGTGCATGGTTTGGGAAGTGAAAGACAACTGAAATCAACCGCCGCCTACATATGTGGGCGATGTGGTCCATCTGTGTTGAACATAGGCTCGCCTACGGGGAGAGGCGCCGCATGGCCAGGCGGCTTCGGCTGTTTCCAGAATTAGTGCTGCTCAGAAAGTCTGTGTTCAGCACATAACTGTACCAGGCGTTCGCTCCTGTCCGTGTATATCAATCCCAATCCCAGACGACCACCCAAATGAGTTAATTCTACCTACTTCCATATTCATAAATCCGCTAACAACAATATCTGAGCTCGCTGACCGTCTCAGTAGGGAGCGTATTTTCCGGAGGGAAATTGAACTGCTCCTTGAAAGCAATGGATGGCACCACGAAGTCGCAGTCGAAAACCATTTAAAACCCGAAAGAGAGATTTAGGTAAACAATGATTGCGTGGAAGTGTCTTCCTATAGATACAGTTGACACAACCACAGGAGACAGATTTGGCATACTCCTTGATTAGCTTCAAATCAGAAGTCTGGACATCATAGTCATTGCAATAAGACTATATCAGTGTCGCAAATAGTCCGTTTAGAAGAATGCGGTGGGACTTACAAAAACTGCCCATCGAACGATTAACTGATGACTAATATTATACCTTCTCTCTCGTACGCAATCTACCCGATCAATTCAGACCACTAAAGGAATCGTGGAATAATTTTCAATGGAAAGTGGGACCGCCACGAACGCCTTTTGAGCGACAACGGATAGGGTGAGTTCTCATGTGTTAAAACCCCGAGTCCGTGCAATGATCCAGAAAACAACTTCTCGCACTATTGTACATAATTATCCACATAATTATCTGAACTAGTAAATCCAGAACTTATATCAAAATTGTGGACGAATGAATCGGCAACTCACATCGCCCGTAGGAGACTTCAGACTTGGGATCCATCCGAGTAACCCTTCGTGTTGTGGCTGGTCCACTTTTTCACTTGTTTCTGCGACAGTAATTCTATTTACCGGTGTCATTAATTAATTGTAACTTACGGCAGTTCTGTCTCGGAGCTAGCATGCTTGTTTTCCTCTTTAGTTGACTCAGAAGGGTCATCAATGACATGTCTATAAAATCAGCTCGTCACTTCCATTGATACTTACGCCATAAATTCACTTAAGCTATTGGCATAGCTCCTAAGAAAGTTCTGTTTCAAGATATACTGAGGGACTGCGCACATTCGCTTACCATTTCGTCAGATCAGAAACAACACGCACGTAACAGGGGACCAAACTGATGCCTCTCATACGATTGGACAATTCGGTGACGTCAGGGGTTCACTGATTGATACACAGGATCGAGGCTTTCGCCCAAGTTCCCTGGGTCGGTTTCGTTCTTGTCGTTCAGCGGCTTTCGTTCACCTGAAAAACAGAAGTGGAAGAGGGTGTAGCGCCGTTCTTTATGTTCTCAGCGCGGGGCAGTATGCTTGCCAGCGCGAGGACTCGCATAAATAAGTGTATAACAGTGCTTTACACTGGGTTCTAGAAGGAGCGTGGACAACCGTCGGAGGAAGGTCATTCCACGCAGCTACTACCCGAAATGAGAAAAAGTTTGTCCAATCAATGTGTGCGCTCCGAGCTTGAAAATCTTCTTACTATGTCCCCGCCGTGTATTTGCTGGGTCAACGGTGAAAAATCTGTCTGCCAAGCTTTGTTCAAACAGGGCATACGTAAGAATTAAGTCTCCTCGGAGGCGACGGTACTACAGGGGAAAGAGATCAAGCATCGCGAGACGCGTTTCTTAGCCCACGGATTTGAGGCCGGCAACATTTTCCGTAGCGGTTAGCTGGACACGCCCAATGAGGGTGTGAGGTCTTTCGTGCGTCCTGAGTAGACAACTTGGTTGGCGTATTCAAGGAGCGGTCCGACGTAGGCCCGATAGAGTTTCTGGAAGTCCACGCAAGTAATGTGGGAGAAGTTGCGCCGAATCATCCATAAAATGGCGAATACCTTTTGGACCGATTTTTTATGGTGCAGTGAGAGGGACAAGTTTGAGGAGAGCCATATACCCAATCCTTTTTGGCGTCTATCCTTACGATGTTTTCTGGTCCTTCATCACCATGCGTGACAAGGGCATTTGCTGAGACTCTTCCAAATAACACGTGGACGTGTAGCCACCAAGTCACCCACATACTTGAGCGTTTTGCTCACAGTCGCTCACTGGATCACGAGACTTGTCTTTTTCCATGCCCACAACCACGTCACATCAAGGTAACTCATCAGACGTCGATTGTCTACATCGTCTAGTATGCGTAACAGCTACTTATGTGCTGACACACACGCACACGCAAACGGGCCTACATATAGGAAGACCGAGACAAGCCAGTACACAGACTCGCGCGCGCAGGGAGCAGGAAGTCAACCTTTCCACAGGTCCATGGGCAATTACGGAATGCGTGTAGCAGAGAACAACGCGTTCCCGCCGCCCGGAGTTTGACTAAAAAACTCCCACAGATGATAAGTTCCTTTTTTGACTTGCTTGCATTTCGCATTGTATCTATTTTTATACGTGTTGCACCCCTCCACTTTAAACCATGCTAAAAAACGTTTATTAGTGCATACACCTGATTTAGACTATGGACAGTAACAACAGTGCACTAATACATCTCTAAATCAACATAGAACGCTCCACAAATTCATGTGCTCGTCCAAGGACTGAGTGACGTTTTGAATAACTGCAAGTTGAGGAGCATAAGCATACGTTTTTGGCGTGCGCAGTGCATACCAACGAACGGGATTACTTTAGTTAGCTCATCAAAAAGCACTCGCGCCCTCTTCTCTTCGAAGATGAGAACAATTTCGTCCGCATATTCCAGACTATGTGAACACCGCTGTCCGGAAACACTTCATCGTTAGTTTCATTTTCTCATCGATGAAAAAATTAAGAATGGAGAGTGTGGCATCCCTGACGGACAGCGCTTGTGTGTGTGGAAGCATTTGGAGAGCCTTCTATGTCTTTCTTTACCATGTCCGCCTCCCTAGCGCGTCCTGTCCACAACTATGCGAAAGGCTGTGCGGTTGACAACCCTCACTTCATCTGCATGCCAAACTCCCCCCAGTGATACCCCCACCGCATGCTGAACCTCATCACCTGTCTTCCGCAATGGGGGAAAGAGGTAATTAAAATGGAAACAACTTTTGTCTGACGTCCTGCCACCGGTGTGAGCCGCATTGTTTATCTCATGTATCTCCGGCGCTCCTCCTTTTAATCAAAGAACTCATAGAAAGCAGACCGGAAAATGCTGCAAGATTCACTAAACACATGTGGTGGGACGCTTCAGAGGCATCTCCAATCGGAAGACCACTACGCTTAAATTTAGGCCGTAACAGCGCTATTATGAAGCCACCTTGTTGTAGAACGCCAACAGAAATCTCTTGGCGTCTCGGCAACCTCCGAGCTAAACTCCCACAGATGATAAGTTCCTTTTTTGACTTGCTTGCATTTCGCATTGTATCTATTTTTATACGTGTTGCACCCCTCCACTTTAAACCATGCTAAAAAACGTTTATTAGTGCATACACCTGATTTAGACTATGGACAGTAACAACAGTGCACTAATACATCTCTAAATCAACATAGAACGCTCCACAAATTCATGTGCTCGTCCAAGGACTGAGTGACGTTTTGAATAACTGCAAGTTGAGGAGCATAAGCATACGTTTTTGGCGTGCGCAGTGCATACCAACGAACGGGATTACTTTAGTTAGCTCATCAAAAAGCACTCGCGCCCTCTTCTCTTCGAAGATGAGAACAATTTCGTCCGCATATTCCAGACTATGTGAACACCGCTGTCCGGAAACACTTCATCGTTAGTTTCATTTTCTCATCGATGAAAAAATTAAGAATGGAGAGTGTGGCATCCCTGACGGACAGCGCTTGTGTGTGTGGAAGCATTTGGAGAGCCTTCTATGTCTTTCTTTACCATGTCCGCCTCCCTAGCGCGTCCTGTCCACAACTATGCGAAAGGCTGTGCGGTTGACAACCCTCACTTCATCTGCATGCCAAACTCCCCCCAGTGATACCCCCACCGCATGCTGAACCTCATCACCTGTCTTCCGCAATGGGGGAAAGAGGTAATTAAAATGGAAACAACTTTTGTCTGACGTCCTGCCACCGGTGTGAGCCGCATTGTTTATCTCATGTATCTCCGGCGCTCCTCCTTTTAATCAAAGAACTCATAGAAAGCAGACCGGAAAATGCTGCAAGATTCACTAAACACATGTGGTGGGACGCTTCAGAGGCATCTCCAATCGGAAGACCACTACGCTTAAATTTAGGCCGTAACAGCGCTATTATGAAGCCACCTTGTTGTAGAACGCCAACAGGAATCTCTTGGCGTCTCGGCAACCTCCGAGCTACCTTAGTTCCACCCAGTCTAATCAATGAACGTCCCTCATAATCACACATGCCCGTACCTGTTCGCATCGACTAGATACCTACTACCACGCCGGGATATCGATTGCCAATTATGAAATGGGGCAGTTTTGCCTCATTGGAGTAGTTAGCTGCATGTTATTCCTTACCGTGGTCTAACTCACATCATTGTGCTTTCCAATATACCTTTCGACACTCCTCCCTAATTTGAACTCTCAATGTAGACACGGCTGTCCTACTGCCTCTTTTTACATGTAATGATGAAACATCGTGCACAATCGATGGACCCTTGGATATAGTTGAGGCGTCCCGGTCTTAAATTCCCACGATCCTTTGGGAAGTTCTAAATACGATGACATCCCTGAACGGCTCACTCAAGGCCTTCGTGCACGAGACCGTCCAAAAACCCACCTTTGGCGTCGCGGTGACGTTACCGCGTCTACCATATCCAGTTTAATTGCTTGCGCATACTTCACCACATCTTTAATGTTTCCCGGACGAGCGTGTTACGCTCACACACAAGACCAACTCACTCCGTGCAATTTGTGACAGGAATTGAAACCGCTGACACCTCATTGCTTTGCCTGCGTGTCCTGCCCCTAAGCACACTAATTGCTCCAACGACGCTGTTGGTGGTTCGCTCATTTACTGAAGGTCCAACTTTGCCTTGAGCTAGATATGGCGTGAGCTGACCAGCATAAAAACGAAGAACTTCCTACTTGTGACGGACGTTGCACCATGGTGCGTTCGTATACCCACCACCCCTCCAGTAGCACGGGTGCATCGCCCATCGCTGGTGGTTCTGAGTCTGGCCTTTAAATACATAGAATAGAAAGAGCGGTACTGCTGACTTCTGTTTGTTGCTGCCGGCGTTGGGCTCGCCTCGGTTGAGTTATGCATCTTGCAATGCAGATGGCCTATCATCTGAAAGGCAAAACAAAAAATTAAAAGTTCACTCACTGTTGGCCCGAAGATACTCTGCAATGCCCATGGCCTACATCGACGAGCATAACTGTATCTGCCTTCGTCAGAACAGAGGCTAGACTGCACCAAAGCCCATTCCACCATCCAAACAGAGAATACATCTTCTCGCCACGAAAGTCTTTATCGTGCACCACCACAGATTAGAATCGATAGTAATGCTTCGGGGACTGCTGACTATTTCTCGCGCGCACACTTTCTAACCTGGTGTTACCCAACTCATGTCATAAACACCCAATTAACCAGTTATCTTCGTAGTCCACTTCCGCCAGCCCATACCACGCTTCTGCGCACTTATATCGGCCTTTACTAGATCCCTTGTAATATAATATCGTATGTTAGCAAACTCAACCCCTGGTTGCTAGCCTGTCAAGTACAAATCTATTTCCTACTCCATATAGTCACTTGCCATCACCCTAGTTGCAGCAAGTTTTTCTTTCTGTGTATATTAATGCATATTATCACATTTTAAGTCCCTTCGAACTCACCATGTTTCGCGAATCTCTTCCCATCCCCCCATCTTCCCAAGCTTGGAAATTCGGATGTGACCGTTTTGGACGACAAGGTTAGCTCATATCCACTCCACCTGGTCTATGCTGTACAACTCCGGGATCACCAAGCGTACCAAGAAAACCTACAACCCCATATTGTTTTCGTTCCCGCTTGTTTCTTCAACCAGGTTGAAATGAATACCGCTGCCCAATCGTTCCCGCTTCTTCAACCAGGTTGAAATGAATACCGCTGCCCAATGAACTGCATACCCTAGCCGAATCATCCCAAATGTGATGTTCATCCATCACCTGTCCAAAAACTGAAGCATGTCAGGCCAATGATGGCACGGCACTTCCATACTCAGTTTGATAGCACACCCGCAACTGTTCCACTCCTCCTCTCAACCGAGCCCTCTTGCCTACTCGTTCTATTGACCCCAACTGCCATCATGACTTTCATTCCAACCTGTTGGACTACTCGTTCGAATTCAACCACCTCTGTGTCCCCATCTAACCTAACACCTTCAGCTGACTTCCATACAACAGTGCAACCAGTGAGTCTGCTTACTTTCAGATTAAACCACATT